TATACATAGTGGTATTCTGTAGATGTTCTTTTAAACATTAGAGCAAGGGACAAGTTCTAATGAAGATGAAGACTTGAGTATGACTGGAGTTAGCGATATTGTCCATATCTAGGCTGGTGCATATATTTATTTATTTTTTAATTATATGCCATCTTTCAGCTAATCAGTGCAATTTCTAAATAGAAGCTTAGTGATTATTGCATTTATGAAATCTCCATGGTGAGGCAATTATAGTGGTTAATTGCTAAATCAAGCAACTTTATCAACGTGATTTAATCTGAATCGGTTCCTAATACTGCCTATTAAAGTGTTCACTGGAGAAAAGATGTGCCTAACTCCTCTCTAGTGAGAACTAATTACGGAAATGCCAACTTCCAGTATAATTTCTTTATTTAAAAACATGGTATCTCAGTCCTTTTGTGAATGGTAAAAACTGTTAAACATTCAGAGGCAACTGGTTGCAATCCAGAAACTGTAAAATGAAAAAAAAGAGACACAAATAGAAAATTTATAAACATATGTGTATTTATATATGTGTACATATATATGTAAATAAAATAGCTGGGACATAAATGGGAGTATTGCTAAACTATGTTGTAATGATATTTTTGCCTTATTCTTTCACAAGCAAACTTCATATGCTTTTAAATGACAACACAGCTGGAGATACAGCTATGGCAATGATTGCTTTTGTAATATTATTACCTTGTGTTCTTTGTGCCTTGAAACAGGGAAACACCTTTGCATCAACTTTACTCATCTGCATTCAGCAAGCAAAAGCTTGAAATGTATCCAACCAAGAAGCCAGCGCTGCCATTTGGAGACCTGCCCCCAGGGTACCGGCATCTGCACACTCAGCTCCAGTATGAGTGCATTTCTCCTTTCTACCGCCGCCTGGGTAGCAGCAGGAGGACCTGTCTGAAGACAGGAAAATGGAGTGGGAGAGCCCCTGTGTGTATTCCAAGTGAGTGTCTTAGGGAAAAAATGCACACGTCTCTGGGTGGAGGGGAGAACAGTATCTGTATTCATCTGAGATAATTAGGGAGTCCCAGCGGTGTAGGCTGCCTTTTCTTCCAGCTGGGAGGTAGAAGCAATAAAGCTTGGAGGATATATGGCTCTTTTTATCAACCAGTAGAACTTGTGCAGTTGATGCTAAAGGGACCAAGCTTTCAGCACTGTAATTTGCCATCAATTTTGCTACTCTTTTATTGAGCAAAAGGTGTACTGAGTTTCTCTCCTGATTTGAAAATGCTTTCCTAGTATCACTTCATGTTTTCCTGTATTATTTAGTGCAAATGTGATTTTTTCTTTCATCACTATACTTTGTCACACAGCTGACAAAAATATCAAAGCCTAAGCAATAGAATGGAGAGTCTGCATTTGAAACAGGTTCTTCCTTTAATATACCCTGCTAAAGAAGTGTTCATATTGCAAACTGTAAGTCCGGATAAGATCGTATCCATAGCTAGTGCACAGAGGAAGTCAGGTGAGGAACATCACAAGATCTGGTACAACCCACTACTGACATCAGGCAAACTGTGCAAAGTAGAGTTCTTGTTTGTGGTTTTGCATTGAGATCGTCTCATGTATTGAGAAGTATTTCAGTCAATGCTTTTCACTATGGGCATGCACACACTACATCCCAGGAAAAAAAAATGTCCTAAGGAAGAGTGAAAAATGTGACCACGTGATGTGACTCTTTCAACTGAAGTAGAACTTTCCTAATACAGGAGATTCTACTCCAGGTCTGAGCCTGGGTAAGATGTTCCTAGAAGACAGAAGAGATTTTTCTTTTTCCGGGGTGGCTGTTGATTTAGGTGCATTTGCTTCAAGGTTCTTTTTGCAAGACAAGTCTGTTCTCATAGGCATGAACTACTGTGTGCTAAGCTCAGTTCTAGGAGAGGACCTCACAATTACTCTCCCTAGGGTAAGTTTTAGTGCACTGCTGACTTTATGGTGTTTTATTATAAGGAAGAATCAGGGGTGTTATTTCTATTTATTTTTTTAGTCATCTCATTATAGTGCAGCTTCATAAGGTTGTCATGAAAATTCACGTGCTCAAGTGCTAAATTCATGTTCCTACTTCAGCTAGGAATTCAGAAATTGGAAAAACTGAATTTATTTTTTTTAAAAAGCTATATAAAATACTCCTATTATAATTGTGCAGGTTGGAGACAGACGTTAATTAGCTGTCCCTCGTGCTAACCATTGCAGTTTGGTTTCTTTTGGCACATTGTAAGCAAGAATCAAGAGTGATATTCAGATTCTTTGGTAGGGAAATGGTATTACCTCATTTTGGTTTATGCTTCCTCAGTCTGTGGAAAAGCAGAAAACACGACCCTTCAGAAGACGGTGAATGCTACCAGGTGGCCCTGGCAAGCAGCAATCTATCGAACAGCCAACGGGGAGAAGGAGAACAGTCTGCGGAAAGGGGCCTGGATCCTTATCTGCAGCGGGGCCCTGGTGAACGAGCGCACTGTGGTGGTGGCTGCTCACTGCGTCACTGACCTGGGCAAGACCATTGTGCTCAAGACAGCAGAGCTCAAGGTGGTTCTGGGCAAATTCTACCGAGATGATGACAGGGATGAAAAGACCATCCAGAACCTGCGGGTGAGTATGTCTGCTGGGAGCAGAAAATTATGAGCAAGCAGATGCTGATCACACCCATCTCATATGGGGAGAAAAAGACATCCTTTAAGCAATATATTGTTTTACACACTGTTCTCTGAAATGCATCTCTAGAGACTCAACTGACAGAACTGTCATGGCACATGGAGGGCACATGCTGTAGTTCATTAGATTTCTCCAAAACTGTCCAGCTCATATGTTCACCTCCTAACACAGATCACTAAGAAAATAGCTCAGGTTCCATGGGTATTGCCAGATATATTACCAGGTATTGCCAGTGATATTGCCAGAAAAAAAAAGTAGAAGAGACGCCAGTCTAATAACTAATTAATTATTAACTAATAAAGTTATTAGCATAATTTATGAGGGAAACAGTAGTGGTCTAGGTGCTGCTTTGACACCATGACTGTATTTCACGTCTCAGCCTCAAGGCTCTAAACTCGAAAGAAGTTTATGTCTGATGCCAGCTCCAAAAATAGCACCTCAGGGTATTTGATTTAATTAATGGATTCCATCCAAGAAATCATAGTTAATTTGATTCTTCTCCCTCCCACCCCCAACTTTTTTGTTTCTTTCTCTAATTCCAGACCTTTTTTTTCACACTATTTGCTTATAGGAATTCTATCCGTTCTTCTTGTGTTTCATCACGGTAATTAGCAGTAAGGTTTGTCCCCAGTATTATGTAATGTTTTGCTAGTATCCTTTTTTGATGAGAAGACTGACAAATTTCAGTAAGAAGATAACATTTTAATTCACCCCCCCCCCATTCAAATTCTACGGGCTGAAGATGACATGGCAGGTAAATTTTCAGTAAACAGTGAAAAAACTTGAACTGCACATTAACTCCCCAATTTGCTGAAAATGTCCTTGACTGCTTTCCTGTCCTGAAACCCAAGGAAAAAAAAGTCAGAAGTTGTTTGATCTCTTTGCATGTTTCTCGTTTGGGTTAGCACTATGGTGAAAGAACAGTTTGGGAGTGGAAGGTAGAGAAGTACACAAACCAAACAAACTTGTATTATAGTAGTATGGAAAGAGTGCTGCTGACTTGCCATTGCTGTTAACTCTACAATTCTTCCTACTCTGTTTCCTCCTCAGATTTCTGCCATCATAGTACATCCCAATTATGATCCTATATTACTTGATTCTGACATAGCTATCCTGAAACTCTTGGACAAAGCCAGAATCAGCAGTCGTGTTCAACCGATTTGCTTGTCATCTTCTCACGACTTGACTTCATCCACAGAGGATTTAAAAATAATGGTTACTGGCTGGAAAATATTGGCTGACATTAAAGATCCTGGATACAAGAATGACACAATCCGCATGGGAGTTGTTCGCATGGTGGATTCACTGTTGTGTGAGCAACAGTATGAAGATAATGGGATCCAAGTCAGCATCACTGACAGCATGTTCTGTGCCAAACAAGATCACACAGCCTTTTCTAATATCTGCCCTGCTGAGACTGGTGGAATTGCAGCCATAACTTTGCCAGGAAAAGCATCTCCTGAGCTAAGGTGGCACCTGATGGGATTAGTGAGCTGGGGTTATGACAAAACTTGCAGCCTAGAACTCTACAGTGGCTACACCAAAGCTCTTCAATTCAAAGACTGGATTGAGAAGAACCTGAAATAACAAGCTGTGTCTAGAAATGGCATTGTATAACTATCATAATATCTCTCTCAGTCGCCACTGCTTTAGGCTTCTCATCCCTGTGATGAGCCATGTCTGGGATAGGGTTAAGGCAGACAGCCTGGTAATTTGACCTGGGATCAGATGTTCCATCAGGCTACTTTTACTTAACCCATGACAGAGGGTATTAGTGCATGAGAAGTTTTGCCATATTTAACCTGTCTCCCCTGACGGGAGGATGATGCTCCGCTCCTGAGTCTGACATAGAGAAACAGGACAGCAAATTCTGATGGAAATTAATCTGTAGTGTGGAGTCCCCTAGAGAAATTGACAGCAAACCTTTCCCAAAGATCTGTGTGACCGAGCGGATTAGGAGGCTGGAAGAAGTAGCCTGAATTCATTACAACGGATGAGCTTGTTATGGTATGTGCTGTCTGTATTGCCATAGTACAATGTAATCTTTTTCCCTCCCCAGTACTTTACACATTTAAATAAACTATGGTTTGTTTTTTTAACCTATAAACCCATGTATTACATTATTTAGATTCCTTGTTGATTTATCTGTGTCACACTCTAGGGACCCTCTACAGCCCTGGTCTATTTGCATGTGACTCTCACTTAGGACTCTTCAGGAACACTGAAAGGCAGAATTAGCACAAAATTCCATTACTATGTAAATAAAAATGTTTTTTTGTTAATACATTCAGTGCTACTATTGTTGTACATGAACCATTGAAATGAAATGTACGGGGGAGTTATCTCACAGCTTGTACAGGTGAAAACCTGAAACATACTTTAAAAAACATTTTTCCATGTGGATTATTTTAAAGACCTATGAAAACCTCAGGAAAACTTCTGGCTTCCATTGGTTCACATGCTTTTGTGGCAAAACAACTCTTCTGTAACACTTCAGGGTGAAGAATAATGTCCCGGTTTCACACTTAGCAGAGCCTTTTCTTGACTGCAGTGTTTGACATCAAAGTGTAAGACTCTCCCATTGGGCATGTTGTCCAGGGGAGAGACTCTGGTCTCCTCGTGGTCCTTAATTACTGCTCTTTCACTAAATCATTTTCTATTCAGTTGTGGCTGAAGACTGGAGATAAGCCCTAGAAAAAGCTGGGGAGGAGGGACAGGGAAATGTTTCCCTTCAGTAATGACTCCTGGACAAGTCATCTATGACACCCTAGAATTTGTGGGATCTTCAAATTATTACAGTGGCCAAACCAGCTTACAGCAATAATTGGATGTGAAGGCTTGGGATCTGATGAAAGGATTTAGTACTTTCACCAAGAAGGACTCAGGTCCTGAAGTTGTGTTCTGCCTAGCTCATTGCATGGCTACGGCTATTTGTGAGCTAGCAAGTGTGTTTTCAGCTCTGATTCTCTGACACTGTGAAATCTTGTAAGAGCTTCTTAGCATTCAGTAGTTTCCACTTACTTTTGAATCTGAAAATTGCTGTTAAAATGGCAATTAGTATTGGAGGTCATTCTGTGTAATTTATTTTTTGCTTTTCTGGGCAGAAAGGCTTAATGTGTTAATGCTTTTGCACTTTTCTTATTTTCACTGGCAATAGGACCAGGTGATGTTGCTTGACTCAAAAAGTTTAAGGGCTACAACCAAAGTATATTGCTTCTCTTTATCTTGTTTGTCTGTCTCTTTCTGCCAGAAGATTATGCTTGGCTGACAAACCGCATGGCAACAACAGCAACAAAAATTCTGAATTAAATGTGAAATAAGATGTGTTTCATTCCTCTGCTGAGAGGAACATGTGCCAGTGAATGTGTGGTACTCCTCTGCTGACAGAAGGGGTTAGAGGGAATTAAGTGACAGTTTTGGAGAAAGGCAAACTTGAAGAAAGTCAACATGTGTTTCTTCCTAACACTACTGATGAGAAATGAAGTGAGAAAGGAATAGAATTGTTTATTGGAGCCTGGCTTGCCCAGTCAAAGCTGTTCCAGGCTTCCTACACTATAACGGTAGAGAAATTCTCTTCTAAAACAGAAATCATAAAGGTTTGGGAGCTGTTTCTTTTCTCAGTTACAACACCATGACTGCATTACTCTCTGTAGCATTATTGTTCTGCACTGCTACAGCTGAGAGAGAAGAGGCCCTAAATGCCTTGTTCTCCCTCTAGGATTTGTCCAGTAAAGGACTGGTCAGTCCACACAGATCTGCAAAACTCTGTGTTAATTCCAGTTTTAGCTCTCACTCTTCTTTTACTAAAGATCAGCCATGCATGGTATTTACTGATTCTCTAACTCTTCCTCGATGTTGAATCCTGTCCCCATTTGGCTTCAAACCACTCGTAGATCTGGCAATGAATAGCTGAAAGTTTCTGGGCTTAGGCAGCAACAGTATTGCTGCTCACTGGCTGTACATCACACAGAAGAAAATTCTTGAAGAGAAACTTGCAGGATTTCATGGAATGAAAATCAGAGGAGGAGGTGGCCACAGCTGTGCATGCACAGCAGAATTCAACCTGCCTTCTTCATACAGCCATGATGCTCTTCAAAGAAAACAGAACCAAGAAAACGGCCAGGCTTCTGTCAACCCTAGGATTCAGATTTTAGCATAGTCCTTTATAGAAAGAGGAAGTAGCTGTAGCATTTGGTTCTACTTCTGGACTTCAATGATATTTGAATCCTAGATTCAATTCTGGCTAATCTCTAAAAGCAAACACGATGTTTTATTTCCATTGTTATACGATTTATGTATTCACATGCATGGGTGGGCAGTCATGCCATCATATCCAAGCACCTATACCATGTCTAGTATTCATAGGGATTACAAATCAGCTTGTCCATCCTATCTGACAGGCTGACCCACAGTAGGTCCATACTTTCAGCCTGACCAGAACAGGGGTTACCATCTAACACCAATAATGAGAAAAAATAGAGGATGAACATTGAAAAAAAGCAATCTGTGAGCTGGAATCACTACTCCATTTGATAGCTAGGGTCTATTTTTAAAAGGCAAAACTATTTCAAACATCTTTTTCTGAACAGGTGAGGATCTATGCCATCTGTTGGAGAAAGGGTGTGAAATAGCACAACATGGGTAGCCACATTATCTTCCTCCAAGGAAAAGAGCTGTGCATTCTGGAAAGGCCAAAGATATTGCTATGACAAAAAAGAGCACAAAACAGTCTCTGTATTCTTTCTTACCCCAATAGGTACCTTGGCCTGGCCAAAAAGTAATTGCAGGTTTTTTTCAGTAGATGGACATGCATGTCTTGAAATGTAACTAACTTCATTTTAAACTGCAAATTCATCATGTAACTTGACAGCTGACAGTTCAAGTTTGTTTTAGAAAAAGAAAGTGCATGATTTCATTAACCATTATTTATTTGGCATTGATTTCAAAATGGAAAATTAAAAGGAACATTTTCATACTATTTTGCTGTATTTCTTCCAAAAGAGAAAAAACCCTGTGCAAGCTCATAAAAAGTGATGTGATGTGTATGGTGAAGATGCCTTAAAACTACAGCAGTGTCAGAATTGGTTTGCTAAATTTCAGTCCAAATATTTTGATATTAAAGTTGCACCACACTCAGGAAGGTCAATTGAAGTTGATAACGACA